TCCACGGATTTCTCAAAGTATCTAGAGTTTGTCTACACTGGAAAGATCGAGGTCGCCAGGAACAAGATTGGCGATGTTCAGGAAGTGGCCCGTTTATTGGATTGTGAGGGTCTGTCGGTGGTTTGCGGTGACGCCTTGAGTGCTGGAGTTCTGGAAAGGCCAGAGAGGAAAACCTGTGGTTCTGAAGGTCAAGGTGGAGGTGAATTACCTGCTGCCCAAAAGGAAGAAGAAAAGGTCAAAGCCAAGAAGCAACATCTTAAACGGCAGCTCTCCCCACAAGAGATACAAGACCCAAAAAAAAAGCTGAAGGTGAAAACGTTGCAAAGGAAAACAACAAAGACAACGAGGAAGCTGAAACTGAGGCTCGGGGGCCGTAAAGTGCTCCTGAGGCGGTTGCATGTCTCTACGAAACATGATTCTCAGGATAAAAACCAGGCTAAGGAGTCGAGAGGCGAGGAAGAATCTGAACGAGAGAATAAAGACGTGGAGAATGAGGTGCAGGAGAATGATCAAGGCTTAGCTTCTGATGGGGTCCATGACTCAGACTTTGGAGAAGATCCACCAAATGATGATGATGATCAAGGTGAGTTACTAACCGAAGAGGAGGATGATGAAGATGAGGGGAAAGGTAAAAGGCTGTCCAAGGCCCAGTTCAGCTGTAACAAGTGCCAGCGCACGTTCCATTATGAGAAGAGCTACTTAAAGCACATCAGGTAACTTGGTGTTTTACCTGTTTTATTAGATTTCACAGCTCCTTATGTTTTAGGTGATGATTTAGATGTGTTCTCTATCCCAGCACCTACCACGGAGTAAAAGCACACATCATCCACCGCTGTGAGACCTGCTCACAGACCTTCGCCAACAGCAGCAACCTGAAGATCCACGAGAAGCACGTCCACAGCAACGAGAGGCTTTTCTCCTGCGATTCCTGCACTAAGACCTTCAAACGGAAGAAAGACGTCGTGCGTCACAAACGACAGGTGAGGGGTTACAAAACTCAGCCTTAAAGTCCTCCTTAGAGTTTTTTTTGCAAAGCTGAACTGCCCTGCTTGCGTCGCAGGTACATGAAAGGAATATGAGGCATGTCTGCTCCGAATGTGGGAAGTCCCTCAGCTCCAAAACTGCCTTGTTGCTGCACGAGAGGACGCACACGGGCCTGAAGCCATACGAGTGCACCGTCTGTAAAGCCAAGTTTACTCAGAAGTCCGCCCTCAATTTGCATCAGAGGTAGCAGGTTATAACTTCTCATTTCTTTACTGTTTTCAGCCTTAAGATGCCGCTTCTGTCGATCTTTGCTTAGTAATTAAAATTTCATTTCATACAAATCTGCGGCTTGACTTTTTCCCCATTTTGACTTGTTCTAACCATACCCTTTTATTATAAGAAAGTAAAAAAAAAAAAACAAGGGGTGGACCTGTTCTTTCGGTTCAATGTGCTTAATTTTTTAAGCCAAAACCAGGCTTTGTTGGACTACTCTATAAAGCTGGGAACTCAACGCTAATCCAGACATTTTGAATCGAAAAAGCTTCCTGGATGGGAGGAAGGAAAATCAAAGTCCAGTGGTTTGATTTTTTTTTAACCTTTTTTTGGAATCACTATGACCTGGATGGCCAAGAATCTTCACCAGCACACACCCTTTTATGCATTTTACTGGGATTTTATAAGATATAATCCACAAAGATTAGCACTGACTCCTGATGTGATGCGATTATTCAGTTTTCCAATTTTCTTTTTTTATTTAAGTCACCCCCCTTTACATTATGACATTCAAACAAAAACCAAGTTACTTTATAAGTCACCTAATGAGTAAACAGTCCAGCTATAGGTAACATGATCTTGGTATAAAGACAGACGATTAGCAGACAAACAGCAGCATGAAGATTAAATGGTAAAACATTGTAGTGGCGGTATCATGCTGAGCAGCATTTTCTTCCTTAGTGATGGGAGACCGGTCAGAGTTGAGGGAAGCGGGAAGCTTTATACCATGCAATCCTGGAAGGGATGGAAGTTCACCTTGTAGCAGAGAAGCAACCCTAAAAATGGAGCTGTAGAATGGAAAGGCTTAGACCAAAGCATATAAATGTGTTAGAATGGCCTAGTCAAAGTTCCGCTCTAAAAATGAATGTGAATTAGTTACAAATTGTTGTTCTTAGATACTTGGTGCAAGGCTCAGTTAATCAGATCTCTGAGGGTTTTTATTTTCATGTCATACTAACAGTGGTGTGTTTCTGTGTGTGTAGGACTCACACTGGAGAGAAGCCGTTTGCATGTGATCAGTGTGATGCAAAGTTCTCTCAGAAGCACATGCTGGCCTATCATAAGAGATCTCACACAGGTAAAGGTTTTTTTTTTTTTTTTTTCTGTGAGTTTTAACAAAGCCATTCGACTAAACTAACGCTCTGTTGGTTCAGGAGAAAGACCTTTCATGTGCGAGTCCTGCGGTAAAAGCTTTGCATCTAAGGAATACCTGAGGCACCATTCAAACATCCACACCGGCTCCAGGCCCTACAAGTGCGATCACTGCGGCCGAGGCTTCGCCCAGAGGAACTCTCTGAACCAACACCTAAAAATTCACACAGGTAAGGCAATTTACGCACACTTTTTATAAAAATTGTTTGCTCTGATTAATGTTTTCTTTATTTTTTATTAAATGAATAAAATTTTTCGGATTAGGTGAGCGTCCGTACAGCTGCAAAGACTGTGACAAACATTTCACTCAGCTTAACGCACTCCAGAGGCACCAACGCATTCATACGGGAGAGAAGCCCTACATGTGTGGCCTCTGTAAACGCACCTTTACCGATAAATCCACCCTGCGCAGACACACTACGGTGAGTAGGGGTTCTCTCACAAAACATAGAATAATCCATGTGTAAGAGGAGAACACTCTATTCACGCTATTTTCATATGGCTTTTCTCAAACAGATCCATGGCTCGGATACTCCTTGGAAGAGCTACCTGGTTGTGCTGGAGGGAAACATGGAGGAGAAGAAGTCTCCCATGAAGGAAAAGACAGAAAAAGGGGGAACAGAGGAGAAAAAGAGCAAAGCTAACAAAGGTTCTAGTTCTGCTGTAGAAGTGGTTCCAAATCCTAACGATGCAAATAAAACCAGCACAGAACCAGTGGTGCTTGCGCCTGAGCAGGTCACTCTCCCAGCCGACTGGGCCACCCATGGAACCATTGCGCTGGTCAGCCACGGCGGGGTCGGTGCCATCACAGTTATCCACACAGAGGTTCCACCTGGGACGCAGATCCAACCCATTGTGGCCACCAGAAGCTCAGGCGCCATTTCCCTAGAAGGTTCCGCCATTGCTGTCCCGTTTTCTATCCCAGTATCGGTAGCTCAGGTGTTATCCTCTGAGGCTCCTTCCAGCTCTCTTTCCGTCCCCGTTTCTGAGACCTTGTTGGCGTCGGTCTCAGGCCTCCCAACCGTCCCTGCGACGTCTCTGCAAGCCGTTTTAGATCCAGCTTCAGAGCAGAAGCCCACCTCTGAGGAGGATACATCACATCCAGATATACAGACTGTGATCGTTGGGGAGGTGCATGGGGGAAAGAAACAGACGGATGTCGAGAATGGTGGACAGAACGAGACAACAGATGAAGCAGAAACGACCAAAGATCAAAATTTAGAGTAGAAGAAACTTTCTCTGGAAGACTGTAGACTGTGAAATTAGGGTTCACACTCTACAAAAGAAGGCATTGGTACAATGACAGATTATAGTCTGTGGGCAGACAAACATATTTGTAATATATCATGAGCTGGATAAAAATTAATGTAACAGGAAGCATTTCTATAGGAAATTAAACCAAAATGAAAAAAACTCCCATGACTGAACTTGAATATTGTGGCATGTTTTGAAAAAAAAAAAAAAAAAGATCAACAGCCACCAGAGAACAAAAATCCCTGATTTTGGCTCTCCTTTACGTGTACGTCTCTGTGTAGTAAGAGGGATTTTTTTTTTCTTGTCAATGTTCCTTTATTAAGTGTAGTTATGTTTGTTAAGTTATTATTGGCCTAGATTGATATGTAATAATTTAGGGCAGCTGGGTGTTGTGAGGTGTTTGTGTTTAGTGTTTTCTAACTTTTATATCTAGCTGTGGTTCCTTCAATGTCAGAGAGGAAACTGGGAGAAGCAGAGGGAATCAGCTACTCCAGGTTTTATCATCTATATTTAATATTCAATGTTTCATTCAAAATTCAATATTTTAAATTGTTTTGCTTTTACTTGTATATTAGAGTGGACTATAGATATTCTTTATTTTTAATACTTCTTATTACCTCCAACTCCAAGGCAGATATTTCTTTTGCAATTTAAATGGGTCTGGAACCAAACTGGGCTCCAGTTCATTCCCAAAATTTGAAAGAAATCAACCAGTTCCTTTGATAAGCTGTGATTGGTTATCGACAGATCAAACACTAATTTTGCAGATTTTTTAATTGCTGCTAAAACCCTAATTTATCCACTGTGGGTTAATAAATGGTTATTCAAGATTGTTTGGTTTTCTTTAATGTGACATAAGAGCATTGAAACACATAAACAGTGCAGCCTCTTTGATTTATTTCAATTGATCCTTTTTTTTTCATTACAACCAAAAAGTGGTCCTTTAGAAAATGTAGCGAGCCATTATCCTGCATCCATGTTTTCTCTGCAGGTAGCTGAGACACATTTATCCACGTGCTCCAGAAGCTGTATGTACACATAAATGAGCCTGTGTTTTATTTTGACCCTGTGTGGATGAAAGAAAACCAATAAAATCAAACCTGTACACCTTTTTTTTTTTTTTTTTTTACATTTATATGTAACAATTTTATGCTTCTAAAAATAGGAACATCAATGAAAAAAAAAATGCTGAAAATAATTAAACATTTATAGCAATTACAAATACCATGTTTTAGAATATTAAACAAGATCCCCATAAACTCAGATACTACAGTATTGTACTTATCTTTATTAATTTAAACAGGCATACATTTAATATCCACAGCCTATTGTTCCACATGGATTAAAGTGAGGACAGAATTTCTGATCTGTTAAGTAAAAACTTGATGTTCCTAAATCTAATGGATGTACACAACACAATGACATGCTAAGCAACTAGCTGGGTAGAAGGCACACTACATCTAAAAACGCATTCAGGTGACTTATATACATAACCCAGATTACAGCCTCAGAAATAAATAGTAAGGGGCTCTTTATTTAAAATTAAGGAATGCTTTTTGGTACATTTAAGCTATATTTTACAGGTGCAAACACATCCTAGAGTTTTAATAAGGTAATAAAGACGTGATTACGTTTGTTCAGATACAAATATATAACAGTCAACACTTGTGCATATTGTTGCCAAGTTTCAAGAGAAGTTCCTCCATGTGGTGGAAAAAATGGCAACAACTTAGGCTTTGATGCGTCATTCAGAACTGAAAACATGGATCTGATTTTTATCTGTTCCACCTGACACCACACAACAAAAGATTGTTGATAAATGATCCAAAATAAAACAGGTTCACACATACTGGATAACAAAAAAAAAATTCCAACTAAGAAATAAAGGTAAAAAACATGCAAAGCCTCCTGTCAGTACTAACATTAGATTGCAAACCCTCCCATGGAGGATTTCAGCTGAAAAAAGGTATGCAGCAATCCTCTAATCGAGGCCGAAAGGATTTACATTCTGACTGGATTTGGATGAGCTTGTAATTAAAAGAAAATGTGGCGCTTCTTATGAGCAGTGGAAAAGTTTGAAAGGGACTGCAAACACTGCCCCTCTTGCTGCGATAACAGCGAGGGGAAGTGAGGAGTGCGCTGCAGTGTGCGAGTATTTGTGAAAGCATGCGTGATGAAACTGTCCCCTCTGTGCTGCATCCCCTACCCTGAGCATTCTTTCATTTCAGATCCCCTTCATCACCCTGGATGGTCTTTTTGATGCGCAGCAGAAGGGTGGTGTGCCACTGGTCCAGGCGGGAGATTGAGTCAAACTCCTTCACCTGCAAACGGGACAACATGAGTCACACCATAACTACATGGCTTTCAACAAGCACTCTCTAATCACAAATCCCATGTGTCACCTTGCATACTCAAGGTGACACATGGTGGTGGCAGCATAATGCTGTGGGGATGCTTTTGTTTCTGTAAGGGCAGGGAAGCTGGTCAAAGCAAAATAGATGGAGGCTGTGATCTAGGTTCTCCTTTTAGCTTGATCCCAGCCCTAAATATCCTGAGCTGGTTTAGATTAAAGCTTATGGCACAGTCAAAGTTCAAACCTAGATATATTAAGCCTGGTGCAAGCAGATGCATTTAAACCAAGATAAACTGCAAGTGTATTGGTTTCCTCATGTGTAAGGCTGGTACAATAAATCAAAAAAGTTGAAGGGGTGTGAATACTTTTGCAACAGATAAAAACGGGTTAAAATAGGAAATATAAAGACTCACTGCTTCTGTGAAGGCCTCGCTGTTCTGCTCCTCATGAGCCTCAAGAAGTTTCTGTTTAAAACAAACACATTAAAACCAGAGAAAGGAGCATATCAAATTGAATCCTTCAGTGATTAACTCAGAGTTACCTTCAACAACTTGCATTCTCTGGAGTCTGAGAAAGCAGGGAACATCTCTTCATATTTCTCAACAGCAATCTGTTCAGGCAGATTAGATTAAATGTTTAGCCTCAGCAGCGCCATAGATAAAGCCTTGCCGAAGCTTCCAGGTGTGGACTAACCTTGGCGTTGAGCTCGTCAACAATGAAATGACACAGGGATGCTTTAAAAAAATACTCTTTGGCGCTGTACTTCAGCAGCGGGTTGTCCATGGTGTTGGCTCCAACCTTGGGAACATTCAGATCAGGTCAAATGAATCAAAACATGAAAGGTTGATGAAAACAAGTAGTTAGGGATAAGAAGTACACACCTGCTCATAGATCTCTATGGCCTTCTGGTATTGTTCCAGTTGAGCACAGTAGGCTCCCACTTTCAACAGACATTTATTTGCAGAACTAAAGTGAGAAACAGAATACACAATAAAGTCTTAATAATGTAATGTTTCAGTTGTTCACATCTCAGCTACAACATTTATTAGAGCTAAAGGGAATAGAAACATACCAGAGGAAGCTAAATAAATAAAATAAAAAACAGCTGCAATCTCCCCCTGAGCTTCAAGATGTTCAGCAGGACAGTTTCCCAGGCTGCTTTGTTTAACATTCCCCTTTTAAAAAAAATGCAGAACAGGAGCTGCTACTAAAATATGCAACAAGGGATGTTATAGCTGAAGGGATCGGCTTTGCTCATCTTTTACTGTGCTTTTCCAGGACAAAAGCAGATGATGTTTTAGGGTCTAAAGAGGCAGCCTAGGAACTGATGCCATCCGCAGTGAGGTTTTCAAAAAGTTTTTTGTGTAGACCAATGATTTTAAGATCAGTCATCCCTTTTTAGAAATAAATCCTCCTGTCAATACAATATTATTTGCATAGGAAATACTTAAAGGCACACCGCAGACTTTGTGACCTAAAGAGTTGACGAATATGAGTCATTTTAAGTGATTCCTCAGGCCAATAAACGCTTGACACTCAATCCAAATGGGGCTCCCCTCTTGAAATACCACCAATGTAAGTTAGGAGAAGACACACTGTCGTTGGCCAGGTCTTGTGACGTGGAAGAACACATTGCTTTAAGGCCAAAGGCACTTATATTGTCATGGCGCTAAGGCTTTTATTCTACTATTTACCGCCAGAGGGCGGTAAAATCCTTTGTCTGCTTGGCTGTGTGTTTCCTGGACGGGGCTGCCTTTTACAAATGCCTTTCATATCTCTGCTTCTGTCTCCTTGAACCCCAGTCGGCCTCTGCAGATGGCCGCTCACACTAAGCCTGGTTCTGCTGGAGTTTTCTTCCTGTTAAAAGGGAGTTTTTCCTCTCCACTGTCGCTATAATCATGCTTAGTGTGAGGGATTGCCTTTGAGTCAATGAGTCGGTGCAATCAACTGGTTTTCCTTAGATAGAAAACTTTGAATCAATTTGACTGGATGATCTGATAAATTGTAAAGTTCCTTGAGATGACCTGTTGTGAATTCTTGCTATATAAATAAACTAAATTGATGTTCAATGTTTAGAATAAGCAAAATGCAGGCAGAGAAAGCTTGCAGGCTACAAACAAAAGCTAACTGAGATGCCCCTTTCGACCCAGTGGCTGTTCGGTGGAGCTCCGCCTCTGGTCCAGCCTGCCCCAGCGACGTTCTCCAAAGAGCAGCAACATTTCTCTTGCCCTAAAGAGCTGAACCTAGACACCTAGCGCGGTCTCCAAACAAAAGACACGGGAGGCTGGCCGGCTGACTGTTTACTTTTGCTACAGTATTGCCACGCTTGTAGCCAATAGAAGTGCTAGATGTAAAAGTTATAAGTCTAGCGCCCCTAGTGTCCAAAAGTTACATGTGTGCCTTTAAGTTGTTAATATTTGATCAAAATAAAAAATCTAAAATATGAGTCTGTTTTAGCTTACTTCTCATTGGCCATGTTCAATGGTGGGTATGTGAATATTTAATAGATTGACACCATACACAACTGTATAGGGTTAGTCATTACATATATATATATATTTGCCCTAATTAACCAGATCTATGTTATTTTTCACTCTCTTTAAGTAATCCTTAAAATAGTCTGTTTAAAATGAATAACTCAAGATAAACTTGATAACTGGGTTAAAAAAAGTTACAGAACCAAAAAAAAAAACAAAGAACATACCTGTTTGATTCCTCTCCTTTGTAGTAGTCTGCTGCTTGTTCATAATGAGCAATTGCCTTTCCAAAAAAAAAACAACAAACATAACTTTTCACCATTTTTTTTAAAACTAAAATATTAAAAGCTGATGAATCTAAATAGATTTTCCTCCACACATCCTCCGACTGGATTACCTTTTCGATATCCACCAGCTCAGACTCATAGATTTCTGCGATACTGATGTGATGTTTGGCAGCGATGGTAAATCTTCCCTGGAGGAAGAGGGAACAGGAGAGCAAAAATCATTACCAACTGGATCTATCAACAGACGCCACGCAGATCAATGAAAGTGTCCTCTTTCCTGCTTAATTCAAGGCACCGTCCGGTAGCATGTGACTTATTTAAGTAGCCCTACACCATAAAAGTAAAAGATGACGCAATTAGATTTGGATTTAGGGAAAAGAAAAAGCTAAAATAGGTGAAAAAATGTGATGCATACAAACAGATGATGATATAAACAACAAAATAAATCACAATCCACATCCAGAGACCTTAATGTCAAATATATTGACATGAATCCAGACACCAATGATCACATTCTAAGTACATCTTACCATGTCTGTGTATATATCGACGGCAGCATTTAAACACTTGATTGCCTCTTAGCAGCATAGAGGAAAGAGGAGGGAACAGTTAGACGGCAGGTTATAGCTATTCTGGATGATGACTCTTTTATGTGAAACACTATTTCTTCATTGTATGAGAGAAATGAGCGAGATAATGGACAATTAGTTATTAATTATTAATCAAGAGGTTTTTTAATGTTTTCCTTTAGGAATATCAGCATTTCAATTTCAAAATTATAGATATAATGATTATAAGATGATATTTCTTTCTAGATAAATGTGGCAATATATACAGTGTTTATAAAGTTTCGATAATGAATCAATAAGAGCCTGTTTCTCACATCAATATTGATCTTCATTGACTAGTTAAAGTATAGATGCAAGAACTACTGATTCTCACTGAGCTTAAAAAAATGACTAAATATCCTGCCTCAGATCTGATGTAATATGCAAAAGGTTAAACAAAAACACAAAAATCATGTTTTCCTCCTTTAGTTTTATTTTGAGTACATTGAAGCATCGAAATCCTTGATATGTAAAGAGGTAAAATAGATGAAAAGGTTCATGCTAGCCAGTCTTTGTATGCGTTAACAGCAACAGTCTTACCATTTGGATCAGACTTTTTGAAAGCATTTCCTGCATCGATGAAACTGGTCGCACAGTCATGCTTGTTCTGCAGCTGCATATGCAGACGAGCAGCTTTGCAGAAGGCATTTCCAGCAGCTAAAAAGAAGAAAATAAAACAGATGTTTCCAAACAGACTCTACAATTTAGCTTACACTCTAACTTCAGCACGTTTCTTATTTTTTAACTAGACCAATGCAACATGTATAATTACGGCAAAAAAAGTTCGATCTCACACCCTTTAAAAGAATGCTATAATGTTAGGGTGGACATCCATTTACCGCTCCAGTTCTTGGCCATCTTGAACATGTTGGCAGCTCTGCAGTACATCTCACAAGCCTCCTCCACTTTGTGGTGCCCTCTAGGGAAATAAATAAAAAGAGCAATAAGAAAAACTCTTGTAAATGTATATAAATCGTCTTTACCAGTTTTTTGTATAGTTGTAAAAGCACTCAGTTTGATAAATCATGGTATGGGTTTTTAAAAAGATGTCACATTAACATCAGAAGGTTTAATGATTTAATAGGATAGATAGTTAAACAGAAGATAGTAAAACATTGCTTTTAAAAAGAAATATTCTTAAAAAGAGGGGGAACCTTTGCATTCAGCCCTCTGGAGTACTACTTTTACAGTTGTTGCAGTTACATTGTTTGTGTCTCTCTCCACAGACTTACATCAAAATATAGAAAATTGTGCCCAAATTGCTACTTTCTGCTAATTTACCACAACTCTAGGGAGCAGCAATTTTCAAAACTTGTAACAGATTATTTCATCTTAAGATTTTTACAGTCTTTTAACTGTTTTTTTCCCCCCAGGATTGACCAGGATATAAACCTATGCATTTTCCCCACACCTCTGACCAAATTCTCCTGCAGAAGATGTCAGTTTCACATCATGATGGCATCTCTGCTGTATGTGTCTATTGGAATGGTGTATTCAGGCTGATATAAAGTATTATGTTTCCCCTCAAATGTTGCAGTTTTGTATATAAAGCACAAAAAGTACAACTTTACAAAGGATCTTCTTTACATGTTTCCTAAACGTCCTTCATGACTTGTGGGAAACTATATATTTGACTTCTATTCATTCTTCCATAAAGAAAGGATTTAAAGAGTGTAAGACTGTTACAGCTGATTCTCGCACCTGATTAGAATAGAAAAGGATAGAAAATCCATTTATTGTCCCACAATGGGGAAAATCTGGTGTTTACAGCAGCAAAAAGACCATTAAAAAATGATCACACAAATGTGGACTAGGGGTGGGCAACATAATCGTCGTGACCATGCAACATCGATTCAAATTTTTGTGATCTACTGCATCGATTCTTGACGCCAAGTATCGATTCTTAATTTTAAAAAATGAATAAATAAAATACATGAATGGTTGGCGCACATTAGCCAAAACAAGTGGAATACAACTTCCAGTCCAGTATATGTCGCTGTGGATGTGTTGACACCCGCTGCCTTGTATCACAAGCATTTCCGGCCACTGGATACTGCGACGAGTCATTCAGAAATAAAAACATGGACTGAGAAAATTCGCCCGGCTCCATCACATTTCAAGTCAGATGTTTGGATGCATTTTGCTTTAAAAACAAAGAAGGTCAAAACGAAATTGATATCACGCATGTAATTTGCAAAAGGGGAAATGTCATACATTTGAATGTTTTCATTTCATTGGTTTAAAGGACCACTCAGGCCATGTAAAAAGCACTGATTATCCTTATTTTGTTATTTTAAGTTTTATAAATCCTAAGCACTTTTTGTCAGTGTGTCCATGCCAGGAATATTTCTGTCCAGTATTTGTTTTCATGGCAACACCTCCAAAAGTCGTTTCAGTAAATACAGCTATGTATGAATTCAGTTGCTTTCAGTTATGTATCAATTGAAGACACTATCCAGATCATACTCAGCCAGTCAGCCACTGGTAATGGCTGTATTTTTTTTTCTAACAGTGTTCAGTGAAAACATCGCAATGCATCGCAATATTTCAAGTATCGTCATGCATCATGATAGAATCGCATCGTGGCATGTGAATCGTGATTCGAATCGAATCGCAACTTCTTTGGCAATACCCACCCCTAATGTGGACCTTAAAAAAAGTGTATAAAAATAACATAATAGTGAAGAGTTAAAAGATAATCCATCCATCCATCCGGGCTGCTAAGTGGCACAGTGGGTAGCAAGAAGGTTGTAGGTTTGATTCTCGGCTTCTGCATGGAGTTCTCCCTGTGTGGGTTTTCTCTGGGTACTCCAGCTTCCTCCCACAGTTAAAAAAACATGACTGTTAGGTTAATTGGCTTCTCTAAATTCTCCTTAGGTGCGAGTGCGTGGGTGAATGGTTGTTTGCCCTTTGTGTCTCTGTGTTGCCCTGCGATGGACTGGCGACCTGTCCAGGGTGTACCCCGCCTCTCGCCTATTGACTGCTGGAGATAGGCACCAGCACCCCTCGCGACCCCACTAGGGATACAGCGTGTCAGAAAATGGATGGATTGATCGATGGAAACCGTGTACCTGGAGAATAAATAACCCATGTACACCTATGGACATTTCTACAGTAATAGATATTTGAAAACAGCAGCAATATCAGAGATGTGCAAAATGACAGCAGCAAGTTATTTAACTGACTAAGTTAGAAACTGCAAACCAGCATGAATGTAACAACTTATTGAGGGTGTGGGGACCATTGCAGTCTTACAGCTGCTGGGAAGAAGGATCTGTGATAATGCTCCCTGGTGCATTTAGGGTGCAGCAGTCCATCACTGAAGGAGCTCTCCAGTTCTGCAACAGCTTCATGCATGGGGTGGGAAACCTCCAAGAGAGGTGTTAATTTAGTTAGGATCCCTTTTGCTTCCCTCCTCCTGCACTGAGTCCAGAGGGCATCCAATCACCGAGCTGATTAATGGATCTTTGGAGCTCTTCAAATGTTACATTTAGGACTAGTCTTTCTCAACTTAATAATACTGCACAGATCTGTAGGGGGAATGTTATCTTGTGCTGGGAAGTCTGAAGCCTCTAAAACACCTTTAGGGATTAACACACGTTTTACTAAATCAATTAGTTTAGAAGTACAAATCCAGGGATTATCTGGGGATTAAATAATGTAGAGACTATTTTGTCAAACATGTATATGAATTTACGGCAATGTTTTCAATTTAACGGCATTTTTATTCAAATATAACTGATAATGTAGCCAAAAGCTGATTAAATCTAAACTTAAGTTATATATTTTTTTGTAAACAACTCGTTAAAGTAATATGGAAGAGTCAAAGTAGAATATGGCACACAATCACAGCTATGAGGCTGCATGAAACTAGTACTTAAATGCTTTGTTTACACTGATAACAGCTAACCTAGCTAACCGACTTAAATGGTTTCTGCTTCTATTGTCATGTCTATCTGGTTATTTTCTTTTAGTAAATCAGAACAATATTCTCCTGTTAATATTATAGTCTGGCTCTAAAGAATGGTGAGGGTTAATATAGGCGTCGTGCCAAGTTTGCTGCTGACACTTAACGGCCGTTAGCTGTTCTTTGGTGCAGTGCTGCTGTCTTACCCTCCAAACATCCCTCCCAAAAAGGAGCCGGAGGACTTGACTTTTTTATCAGCGTCGGCCATTAGCTGAATGGCTTCCTTCTCTTTTCCGGAGTTGTCCATTTCTTTAGCCTAATTAAAGACAACTTGCAGCTGCAGGAAATTTTAAAATATTCCCGCAGAGGATTCAGTTGTGTACAGTAAGGATTACAGTCGATTTAGTGTAGGCGTAACCCAGATTGTGGCTTTTGGAAGCGGGGCATTATGGGAGATTGAGTTATTTACAACGCAAAAACACTGGGTGCTTCGGTAGAAGAAACTACGACTCCCATGGAAAGGGTGGGCTATTTTTATTTCCCCCGCCGTGTTACGTAAAATGTCATTAAAGTTTCTAATATAGATTTTTTTTTTTTTTGTATTCAACCGAACGAATTTCATCTGTCTTTCAAATGCTTCCAAGGATATATGCAACATTTTTATACATCTGGAATTACAAGAAAAGCCCGACAGCTTGCTATTTTGCAAGTTCTTAATCATCCAGCAGATGGCGCTAAAACACCATTAGTGGGTTTCAGAAACTGAACCCCTCTCAACCTATGCATTTATATATGCAGTGGTAGAGTTTGGCAACCTATGGGTAATTAATTAATAGCTAATTTAATGGCTACAAGACCCTGGTCCTTTTGGCTGTGTGACAATGCCATCAGATTTTCCAAATGTTAATGATTTTGATTATGATTAAAAGTTCCACCTTTTAAACATGCTTTACTGTTATATATACAGTTCAAGGGTGTAACTTTGTGATGAAAATTGATGGGGACACTCGGGTGGAGGCTGATGGACCTACAGTTACTTGTTAAAGATTTTCCAAAAATGAGCTCAGATATATATTTACTGAATGCTTTCCTATTTTTGAGAACACAAGAGAACCATAAAACCTGGATATTTATATTTATAGATGATAGAGGGATTCCTATTAGTGCATTACATATATGGGGCCGAAAAACATTAACGTATAAAAAAAATAACAAATACCAGTCGATTTTGATGCCAAAATTGATAAATCCTGCATCACTAGAATGAACAATTTCAATTCCATCCAGAAAAATATGGATATTACACACTCACACACTGATGGTGGCAAGCTACATTGTAGCCACAGCTGCCCTGGGGCTCACTGACAGGAGCGAGGCTGCCGTACACTGGAGCCACCGGGCCCTCTGACCACCATCAGTAGACAATGCAGGTGAAGTGTCTTGCCCAAGGACACAACGACAATGAAAGTCGGAGTCGGGGCTTGAACCGTCAACCCTTCGATTTCAGGGCAAACTCCTACATCCAACGCCACTGTCGCCCCCCCAATATGTTGTTGATATTTTTAAAGAGTAGCAAAACTGAATAATCATTACGTCTTCTCAACAAAATATCTAAATAGTGCTGATACAGACACTTTGGGGATGTTTCAGTAATCTATAATTTAATTGTAAGAATAAAACCTCATCATTGAAACAGAAAAGCTGAAGGCGTTGCAAATATTAACAGTGGGCAATGATGATGAACTTCTACCAAGGTTCACGGTGATACTGCTTAGATACAGTCACCAGATGACTTGAACCCTGACACCATCAGTGCTGCTGGCTGATATTGACTGTTACGTATTATTAGCTAAAGGTTAAACCACACATATGACAGCTGGTATGTTATTTTATTCTGTTCCTTGCTTCTTTTTTCTTATCAATAAAAGCTTACAAATTAAAAAATATTGATAGTTTTGCATGTCTTGGTGAATTTCACTACCCCTTTGTTAATGACTGTGAGCAAAGACAATACTGATCATGGCTGAGACGTGCTTACCTTCACAGATTCAAGCGATTCCTCTTTCCTCATCATCTGTGCGTCAGTGCAAAATGATGTAATATTTCGGAGCAAAAGATTCCTCAGTCCTTTCATTCCTGGTGACTGTTATCTTTGAACCCTAATTGATCTGACCACCTACAACAAACTGTCATGTGAAACCATTATGGGACAAAACTTTCGTTCATGTAATTTCAGCATAAAATTAGCTTCTTCTATTTTATCGGTCACACAATACAAGAACATTCTTTTTTTTGGTCTCTTGATTTCTGATGTTTATCATGATGCCCCTAAGTATGAATATAAAACTGTAAATGTCTGCAATAAAACAGCTGGCATCCCCGATCTGCTTTATAACTACAACATAATATTTAGTGCTTGTTTTTTAAACTCACAGTCTGCACCCATGTGTACTTCAGTAAATAATAGCTTTTTTTATTGCTCTTTATTAAAGAAGTATAACCAGGCATTTATATTATCAGCGCTTTAAATGATGTCAGGTCATCACTAATTAAAACAGTGCCTTTTAGGTAAGCAAAGTCTGATGACGGTTTGAACTTTCCACTACCTGGCAACCCAAACTTTATTATCAATAATTAAGTCTGAGAGAAGATTGTTATCTTTTGTGGTTCAAAGACCTCTGGAAATGAAAGCAACACAGCTGTTTAAATGACCTAATGAAACCAAAACTCATTTTATGCCGGTTTCCTAAGAAGCAGGATGGTATATTTAACTGCAATTGAATGTTTATGGCTCTCTGGAAACTGGAGATACAGGGAGTGTCCTTCACATTCCTGATAAAGCAGCCAAGCTGGTAGATGTGACCTAGTTACCGAGAAATTATTTAACTAACCAGTAACTCCGTCACTCTGATATTTGCCTTACTTTGCTTAAACCCACTGTTCTCACACAGAGGTCACAGGTAGTACTCATACTCGTATCACTTTTGTTAAAGTTGTAAGATAATATATATCAATGTGAGTGAAAGATCACTTGGTGCAATTTCATGGAGTGCAATGATAGTATGTTTGTCCATAGATGCCTACACCCAATATCACATCTTGTGGCCAAAATATTAAGTTCATAGAAAGAGATGGGACAGACTGAAAAATGAAGAAAAATTGGGTTGCATCTAATATTCATGGTAATATCAGCATTAATATAATACATAATATGGAAGGACAGAACAAAACAAAAACAGACACTAATAGGGAAAAAAAAATCAAGAAAAAACTAAATTAACATGTGGCTATTTATGCATCATCTAATAGTATCTAAAAATATAAAAGAGAGGGGGCATGAGAATCAAGTTTGTTTGATTTTTTTTAAACACCGCTTGCTGATTCAACATTACTAATTCTTAAAGTGTCACTGAAAATGTTAACACACTTTCAAAAATTCCAGGTATACCTTGAGCCCTAGACCACTCTAAAAGTACACATGGTACAAGAACAAACATGTTTGTTAAAGCTTCATGCTTGTACTTCCCATGTTTTGAGGTAATGTTTCAGGAAAAGAACACTTATCAAAGACATTACGAGACAAGAAATGGGCAAATAAGTTTATTTACACCTGGGTTAGTATGATACAAATGGTTCAATTACTCATCCATCCATATACATCAACATTTACATACAAGGCAAGCATGCAGTTATCTTACACTACTGATCAAAGACAGATACTATACAAAAATATAACAAATGAAGATAATCTGGCGCAGAGGTGACACAGATTTAACAGGTTGGAAAACGGCCCATAGATTTCTACAAGTCTTTATTAAATGACAGATAGCTCATGTTGAAACAAAAAAAAAACCTGGAAGAAAGGAATTCCCCTAAGGCTGTGGCCGACGTGCACTTTTGCAAAAACGGCATTCTTCTGCTTTTTCTCAGATCAAGTACATATGAAGCTCAATAAACCAGTAAATAAAAAAAATGCTATGTTGAACATTAGCCAACACTCAAAAGTCTGAAGGCTTGAAAATGTGGAACAGAGACTTAATTACACATCACAGTGAGGAAGTTAATCATCTCCCTCTGTGGATTCAAAAGTGCATCAAATCACTCCACTAGAAAAAAAAAGAAACTAATTAACAGCAACCAGCACCTTTATCTAATTCCACATGCTTTTGTGTGGTTCGCAGAATTCAGCTTTGACCCAGCACTTTACTGATATGTGATAACACACATCATGTTATTTTATTGTTATACATATGGATAAACATGTGTTCAATGGTTACATGCAGGAAATCAACATTTTACTTGGATCCAGAAACCTGGCTGTAAAAATAAGCACTTCTATGCCTAACTTTACATTTTAACAATTGCTGTTTGTAAAGGTGAAATAGCCTATGTGAAAAAAATATATAAATTTTTACATCAGCTTGGTCTGTTTATGCTTTTGGCTAAATTTCCAACTTTTAAAATTGGGATACAACATGTGAGGAGAGTAGGAAATAAATGTTAACCACACCGGGAGGTACATTGTAATGGAAGAGGGGTGAATCTAGCCAATGATGATATTAATTGTATTTTCTTTTTCAAATGCAAAGATTTAATTTTATTAACCAATCTTTTTTTGGTCATTCTTAGTGAACATGTGCAAAAAGTTTAATAATATGTAGTTGGGATTCCCTATGAAGAGCTGAGCCCAGAATCTGACTCTGCACTTCCACCATGAACCTTGGAGGCTAAGCAAGGCACTGAGGAGCAGGGAATGGAGTAGCAGGAGCAGGCAGAGCTTTTTAGGGTCTCCTCTGTAATGACCTCTTGCAGGGAGTGTTGCTCTTCTACCTGGAAGATGTCTGGCTCTCCTTGAGGATCACAGATACTAGAGGGGGGGAAAAAAGGAAAGAATTGTTTAGTTAGGATAATTTAATGATACCGCTGCTTTCACATCCAAAACTTCTCTTTGAACGAGAATCTTCAACAAGTAATTGTTCTATATGAAATCAACTTGCTGCAAAACTAAATCTATATTATTAAAATGTACTGACAATAGAAAATAATATAAATCTATACTGTAGCAAGCCAGAATTAGTCATTTGTATCTTTTAAGTTTCATACATTTTGCAAGATGAGCAGTTTGGCTTTTAACTTCCTTTACAAACATTTTCTTTACAAACATGCACAGTCCTGTAGAATGATTGCACTGGTTTCTCTCCTGCGTGCAGCAGCTTCCAATGATAATGTTTTATTGCATTCCTGGATATCAACACCCAAAGGTTTGCAACACACCCATTCCTAGATTAACACATTGACTTTGGGCCAAGTGCCATTTTACATGCATTTTTAGTTAATTAGCTTTCTGATATTGGGCTGTAAAATCCTGCAGATTAAACTAGGGCAATCCACCATATTCCTGGTAATGAAAAAACACACAAAA